TTCTAGCCCTGGCTCTGCTGCCAGGCAAGGTCTTGGGCAAGTCACTTCCCCTGTGTGTGACTCAGTTTCCCCTCTGGCTGGTCTACATAGACTGTGAGCTCTTTGGGAGGGATAGCTCAGTGGTTTGAGCATTGGCCTGCTAAACCCAGGGTTGTGAGTTCAATGCTTGAGGGTGCCGTCTGGGGAGTTGGGGATTGGCCCTGCTTTGAGCAGGGGGTTGGACTAGATGACCTCTTGAGGTCCCTTCCACCCCTGATATTCTGTGACAGGGCCTTTCTCTCACAATGTGTATGTACGGCACTTAGCACAGTGGGGCTGTGATCGTGCCTGGGGACTCCTGCTGTAGAAATAATGAACCACTGCCACATTATTCTTCGCTCCAGGCCGTGGAGACAAGGCCAGAATAGCTCCATCACCAGAGACCCTGACCCTTCTCTTCCTCCCAACTCTTGAGCCAGAAAGCCCATGGAGATGCCCTCGGCCCTGTGCCCAGTCTCTTCCTCCCCATCCCCACTGGGGCTAGTCTCTCCAAAACAGACATTTTCCCCTGAAAACATCATGAAACAAGTGGTCTATGGGACTATAAATGGCCTTGAGGCCTGTGAAGAACCTGAGGGTCCATGCAGCCTACGAGGGGCCCGAGAGACCCAAGACGTCCTTCAGGACAGTAGTGGGCCTGTTTGGTCCATGAGGTCTGTCCGCAGCCCTTCATGGCAGTGACTCCTAGGAGGTCTGTCTGCCCCCCGCCAAGGCTTGACTAACCCACAATGACCATGATGCAGAAAGACCTATAAAGGTGCCAAATGTCCAGAAGGATGGTGAGGACTCTATGGCTTTGGGGGGAGGGGGGGCCTCTGAAGCGCCTTCAGTAGCTCTTCGGGAATCTGCGATTTCAGGGGTCTCTGAAGCCCACGACCACCCTTGGTCCCACACAACCTGTTGCCCTGGTTCATTTCTCAGGGTTACTTGGTCTTGTTTTGTGCCTTACTAGGTTGGTCTGGTCGCCTTAGTCCCATGGTGGGAGCTTCACTATTTGACCAGCTCTGCCCCACTACCCCTATTTCCCCCTCTAGGGAGAACCTTGATGCATTGTGGGTCCCTTCTGCTTTACTTTTAGCAGCTGCTGGGGTTGGGGAGCTCAGAGCAACTTTCGATCTGGCCTTTGTCCAAAGCCCAGGGGGAGTCATTCCGGATTCCCCTCTGGCGCTACTGAGGTGTCCCTCCAGCCCCAGGCCAGGGGGCCCACCCCCACCCCCATCTCTATGGGGCCATGGGGTTCCTCCTCCTCAGACCGGCTCCGTCCCCTTGCTGGCTCTGCCTCCCCGACCTCTTCTGTGTCTGCCTCAGGCCCAAGCACCCCAAGGCCAGGCTGGTCCCTAAGAAGGACCACCTCAGCTGCTACCTCACCACCAACTGCCTCAACGAAGGGCAGTAGATCCAGCTTCACAGCCTGCACCCCTTGCACCGGCTCAGCGAGCGCTACCTGGGCTCTCAGACAGACTCCAAGGTCTACATCAGCTGGGGCAACTCCTTCCGGGTGGTGGAGGACCTGCGCACGGACCAGGGTGCGTCTGTTGGGACGCTGCACTGCTAGGGAGACCACTTCATACACTGCCACACAGCACCTTCTATGTCTGCTGTCTGGAGCAGGGCGTCATCCTGCCCAAGAAGGACCTGAGCCAGCCCCACCAGCTCTCCCCCTACCCCATTCATCCCAAGCACCACCAGGGCCTCTGCTACCTCCGCATGGACTCCCACAAGGCGCTGGTCATGGTGGACGAGAAGTGGGGAGCCAATGTGAGGACTGACCCAAGCCTTACAAGAGGAATCTTCTCCACCCACCCCAACCTGTTCAGCTTCCTGACCAGGGCTCCTGACCCTCACCAGGGGCATCTCCATCCGCAGCTGCGACTGCATCAAGACAACGTGGCTGATGTGTCCATCACCTGGACCGAGAAGATGATCTGCAAGGGGGGTTCCACCAAGCAGGAGCTGTCCAGCATTGGGGGCAGCTGGGATGTGGCCACCAGCAGCTCTTTCGAGACAGGCACCATCACTGGGCTCATCACTTAGGCTCAGTTCTCCCTGTCAGCCCAGTACGGCAGGAGCGGATCCCAGACGAAGCAGGAGGAGGACTGGACTGAAGCCCAGGAGAACGAGGAGATGCTGCAGGTGACTGTGAGACCCAAACAGAGCTGCTTTGTATGGCAGTACCACCTCAGCCTGGGCCAGGAGCCCGTCCTCTTGTGCCTTAACCCCACCTGACCCTCCTCCCTCCCTCTGCCTTCATCCTCCTGAGCCTCTTGGAGACAAAGCCCACTGACGATGCCATGACCATCCCATGGGCGTCAGCCAAGCCAGAGCCTCTTGGATTGAATGTCGCGTTGGCTTCCTAGAAATTTGTGGGATCAAATCAATCCCTCAAAATCCATGCCTTCCTCCCCGCCTTCCCACCCAGCTCATCTGCCTCTCCTAAGCAGCTCTCCCACGATCCTTAGCAACGCAGATAATTTAATTAATTCTCCTCTCGGTCTTTTATAGTTACGGCTAGGTGTGGCAGAATTTGATTTTTGCCTTTTTTTTTTGAATTTCAACAGGTATGATCAATGTTTGTTTATAAACATTTTCTTCCATTTTGATCAATTTAAATTTTCAGTTGTGCAAAATTATGGCCTTTAACCTTTTTTTAAAAAAAATTATGTATTTACATTTTCACAGTTGTGGGAAATTGAGTGGGATCAGACAGTGGAGGAGGACAGACAATAATTATTTAATGACAGTGGACATTGAGATTCAAAAAGTTAAAGCTTTATAGCTGGTAAAACACAAATTGACAACAGCACATGGCCAAATATATGGTGTAAACGGCCTTTAATCAAAGTCTAGTAATTGCTCCAACAGCATTTTGCTTACCTTGCCTAGCTGTTGATTTTGATTATTATCGTGCAATCAACATTTACTGACATTTAACGATAAAAATTGAATCCTCCTGCAGCCTGAATTCTGCTTTGGGATCATTTTGGGGTCGAATCTGCTGCAGAAACACAATGCATTTGTCAATCCTGAATAAAGCATCGATTTTTTTTTGGCGTTCACCAAGTTGTTGGCATTGAATTTCCTTGCTTTTCTCCTTTGTTTCTCTTTGGGGGCTATAAAAGGGGGGAAATGGAGGAGAAAGAAGGAAAGCAGCAGGGATCTACGAAAGGCCCTTGAGTCGGTATCTCTGTGAGACAGGCAGGGAGCAGAGCGTGTTGAAACCAAATATGTGGGAAATTTAGTGTGCCGGGCCCCAGGATCCACACAGATCCACAGTGGCCTCCAAGACTCTTCAGCACTGGCAATCCCCATCTCTCTCCATGGCTCCTGGCAGTGGACCAACTGGAGGCCAGTGACCAATGCAGCCTTTCCCCGGCCCACAGCATCGGCAAGCCCTTGGGCTAGCAAAGAGAGACATAGGTTGAGACATGGTCCATCCCTGGTTGAGTCTGTTCAATGAGCCAAACCAGTGGTCATGGACTCCTCCCTTAGGTCTAGCTCTTTGTCTCTTTGCCCTTAGACCCAGCTCACACCCTCCCACCCCAGCCGCCTGACACCTTCTCCCCTTTGTTCCCCAGCTCAGTCCCCACATCCCGCCTGCCGGGGTTTCCAGCGACTGGATGTCGATCGTTCAGTCCTTGGGGGAATCTTGCTCCCCCTCTGGAAGCTGGGTCGGTTCCAAGCTGTTCTTTGCTGACCCCCAGAGAGTGAGGAGACACCCCCCGCCCGCACTTCCTGTGCCAGGAGCAGCGTTAGCCGGTGTGCACCCACCAGGCAGCAAGGCAATGTGCAGGGGGAAACTGAGGCACACACCTGCTTCATAAAAATGGCACAGAAAATGGCCACTTCATCCCACCCACCCCCACTGCCCTGAGTGCCCCCTGCTGGCTGGTCTATATATACCTGCTCCCCACACCACCCTCCACCCCAAGCCCTACCTACCTCCCCACTCTGGGCTCTCCTGATCCCTCCCCAGCGGCAGCAGCCCCTTGTTCCCCACAACCCTTCCCGAGCTCCTGCCCCCCCTCCAATCCTATCAGCTCCCCACTGCTCCTGCAAGTCTTCTCAGGGCAGACAGGGCAGATGGTTACACAGCCCCATCCCCTCTGCAGTCTTCTTGGGGTGATCAGCTGGTCTGTGCCCCATCTTTCCCCTGGGTGGGGCCACTGCTCCCTTCCAATCCGATGAGGTGCCGTTAGCATCGGGGAGGAGACCTTCCTCACATATTGGGCTGGCACAGCCAGGTCCCACCCTTGCCACCTGAAACCCCACTCCTGGGCAGAGGGGATCCCCAGAAGGATTTCCCAGGGGCTTGGCTCTAGGAGAGCAGCAGGCTCAGGGGTGAGGTTCTGCAGGGGTGGCTGACACCTCCATGCCACGGGCACCCTTCCCTGGAAGATCACCACCACAGGAAGTACCGCCTCAGAGGGCCGGACTGCGTGACAGCTTCCTCCTGGTCCCTGATTGGCCCAGATGCCCTATTTGAACCCAGGAGGCATTCCAGAAAGTGGCTGTGCAAGGAGGCCAGCCAGAGATGGACCCGTCTCTCGGTTCAGTCTGCTGACCCCAGCCCGGGCCTGGAAGGGCGACTCCAGTCCCAACCCCTAGCATCGGTACTTGGGCCTTGCCACCAGCTTTGCCCCTGGCATCAGCACTGGGACCCTGATCCTGGTCCCCAGCTCAGGATATCGCTCTTAGATCCCAGCCTAAGGTCTGGGCTCTCTCTGGCACCAGCCCTGACGTCCCAAACCCTCGGCGTGACACAGAGACGGTAGCAGGCCCACACAAAGTGAAGGTCTTTTGGGGCGTGGCAGGATCAATCTGGCAGGGGGTAGTGAAACTTGCTACCACTCCTCGTGACCTTCCTTATCACTAAGGGCTGGTCTACGCCGGGGAAGCTAGTAGCTCTGGGGGGTGAATCACATTCCACTCTGGGAACAGAATCGGCACAAAGTCAGTCGCTCTTCGGGCTTGCCTACCCAGAGTGGGAGTTTAATCCAATTAGTGTCCAATGCCAACGCTCACCCCATGGAATCCAGCTAATCTTGGCAAGTTACCTGTACCCACATGCTGCAGAGGGAGGCAACCCGCCCAGGTCCCTGCCAAACTGCGCTGGGGGAAAATTGCTTGCCTGCCCCACATACGGCGACCAGCGAGACTCTGGGCCCAGGAGCAAGAACCAGCCAGAGCACCTGAGAGAGAGGATGCTTGGAGACCTCAGACCTCTGCCCTCCCTGTCCAATGGCCCCTCTCCAGAAGTGGACATCCCTGGGGCTTCCGAGGAAGGTGATTCAAAAATAACTTCCCAGCATACACCGGGTGGGGAATCCCTTCCTGACCCCTGCCAGTGGCCGTCTGGAACACTGAAGCATGACCATTAGGAACAGAGGACGATTGGCTCCAAGGCTCCCTCCCCGTCATACAATTGCATTAATCCATTTCCCCAGCTCAACCTTAAATCTACTTGATTATTTGCCCCCACACCCCCTATTGGAGGTCATTCCAGCCCCTCACCCCTCTGGTGCTGAGAAACCTCCTCCTCCTTTCCAGCTGGAGTTGGTTGATGGTCTGTTTGCAGCCATTTGTTCTCATGCCAACATTGTCCTTTAGCTTCAATAGCTCTTCACCCTCCCTGGTATTTAGCCCGCCCCCGGCCTGGTGTATTTATAGACGGCAGACAGATCTCCTCTCAGCTGGCTTTTTGGTAGACTAAACAAGCCCAGCTCTTTCACTCCCCTCGCGTAAGCCCGACTCTCCGTTCCCCTGGTCGTCCCTTCTCAGTGCCTGCTCCAGTTTAAATCCCTCCTTCTGGAACGGTTGGGGCCCAGGATTGCACCCCGGATTCCAGCAGAGCCCTGGCCTTGTCCAGGGATGTCCTCACTGCCCCCCGTCTCTCCTGGAAGCCCTCCAGGATGTCTGCAGCGGCTGCTTGGTGCGGCAAGCCTCTACAGCACAGTGGCATCACAGCCCAGCTGCTGAGATAAAGATCGGGTAGGTCCGGTTCTCCTCGGCGCCGTGATCCTATACGTCACCAGTTTACTCAGGCAGGTTTGCAAAGGATGAGTCTTAAATCTGGTTTGGTTCAGGCCTGCGGCAATGGGATTTTTCAGTCCTGTCCGCTTTTAATGGAGGTGTCACAATGGGGCCATCACCACCTACAGGCCACGGGGGGCGGGGCAGGGGGAAGCAGCAGAAGAAGTGGGGACCAGGGACAGCCCCTGAGGCCCATGAGTTCAGGCCCTCTTGTCCCCCCAGCAGGGTGTAGAAAAACTCAGAGCTCGTGTGCTTGCTCTTGCTCCAGAAATTAGACCACCTGTCTGGAGGTGGGTGAATAGGGGGGCTCCCATCTGGACCCAGGATGTGGGACTGGCTGGCTCAGGGGGTGGGGAACGGGACATGGAGCCTTTCCCCTCTAGGGGGCGCCAGCTCCCATCTTGCCCCAGGATGGAGGACCGGCTGGCTCGGAGGGAGGGGAATGGGGCACAGGGCCTCTCCCCTTTAGGGGGCGTCAGCTCTGATCCAGCCCCTTTAAGGGGCATAAGGATACCAAGGTTGAGCTATAGGTCCAAGTAGTTCCCAGCCGCTTCTTAAAGGCACAGGTGTCCCATTCATGGTGCAAATAAAGTCCCCTCACTGGGCTGCAGTCCTGGGGCTGATGGAGTCTCGTTGCCCTCTCCCCAGTCACCGTATCCCTCTACCCCAGGGGAGAGACTATTTGTAGAGCCCAAGGGTGGGGCTGTGGTAGAGGCACATGTAGGCATCACAGAGCAGGCGTCGGGCGCAGGGGGGCAGGGACTTGGGGTCCAGCACCTGGAGCTCCTCCGGGCTCATCTCCAGGTAGTCGGCCACCTCCGGGCAAGGTGTGACCCGTGGGATGTTGAAGCCATTCTGGCCACCTGGAAAGGAAGAAGGGGGAAGGAAGGGGTTAAAAAGGAGAGAGGGAAAGAGAGAAGGAGGAAAAGGAGAGAAAAAGAATGAATAAAATAGAGGCGGGAGGGAGGGAGGGAAGGTATGGAAAGGGGGAGAAGATGGGAACAAGAAAATGGAGAGAGGAAGAAGGGAATGAGAAAATGGAGCAAAAAAGGGAATGAGAAAATTAACAGAGAAAGAGGGACAAGAGGAATGGATAAAGAAAATGGGAAGAGGAGAATGGAGAAATGGAGAGAGAAGATGAGAATAAGAAAAAGGAGAGAGAGGAAAAACAAAATTGGAAACAAAAGAGGGAGAAATAAGGAGTGACAAAAGCTAGAAAGAGAGAGAAGGAAAAAGTGAAGAGAAGGATGGATATAAAGGAGGAGAAATTGGGGGGAAGAAAAAGGAGCGGAAAAAGGGGAAAGTGAAGGGGAAAGACAAGTGCAAAACAGAAAAAGGAGAAAGTGGAGAGAATATAGAAAAGGAAAGAACGGGAAAGAGAAAATGGAGAGAGAGAAGAATATAAAGGGGAGAGAGGGAGAATGGGAAAGAGAAGAGAAAATGGAGAGGGACTCATAAGGGGGAAGGGGGAAGAAATGAGACAGAAAAGAAAAAAGAGACAAAAGGAAAAGGAAAAAATGGAGAGAGAGGAGGAAAGGGAAATGAGAGAAAGAAAAAAGAAAAGGAAGGAGAAGTTGAAAAGAGAAGGAGCAAATGGAGAGAAAGAGGGAAGGAGAAGAGAGCAAAAAAATAGGTGGAGGAAAGCAGGAAGGAGAAAAGGGAGAGAAGGAAAAAACAGATGGAAATAGAGAAGGAAAAGGGGAAAGAATGGTGAGAATGGAAGAAAAGAAGGAAGGAGAAAATGAGAGAAGGAAAAGAGGGAAGAGCTGGAGGAAAATGGAGGTAAGGACAGAAAGGAGAGAAAAGAAAAAAAGAGGGAAGGAGAAAAGGGAGAGAGAGAAAATGGATGGAAAGAAGGAAGGAAGACGGGAGTCTCCCTGCTGCAATTCCTGGGGTGCCCACCAGGGGCAGCCCCCAGCCACGCCCCCTGCAGCGACACCGCCCCCCCCCCCGCCGCCCTTAAAGGGCCGGCGCACAGCTCACCCTGGCGGTCGGCCATGCTGTCAAAGAAGAGCCATTGGCCGCGGTGCGGACCGTGGCGGGCGAAGGCCACATAGTGGCTGGTCTGGATGCAGAGGGCGGCGTAGAGCTGCATAGTCTGGCGGGGCAGGGGGCCTGGTGGGGGTGGCAGGTGCTCCAGCTCTGGGGGTAGGCGCAGGGCGCGGGGGTGGTGGGAGCGCCGGGCACGGTGACGGTGAACCTGGGTGGGGGGAGGGGGTGATTACAGGGAACAGCATGTCCCAGAACCCCCCCCCCACCTCCCCCAGACACCCACCTCTGCCTCCCCCACCCCCCAATACTCCCTGCATCCTCCATCCCCTTCTCCCCTCTGGCCCCCAGTGCCCCCCCACCCCCATAGCCGTGTCTCCCCCTGGTGGCCAGCAGGCAGTACCTGCTGCCAGCAGACAGTGCAGTACTGACGGGTGCTCCCTGCCCCGATGCTGGGGTCCCCGTAGCACTCGGGGCATTCGCTCCGCGCCAGATCCTGGCAGATACAGCACTCCCGGGGGGCTGTCAAAGCAGAGGGGGGTGGTCAGTCACAGCACCAGCACCCCAGGGCCAAACCCCCTCCGCACTGCTTCCCCTCCCCCACCACCTCCCTGCACCCTGCCCCCTCCCGCTACCCCCTCCCCAACACCCCCATCGGCTGCCTGCCCCTCCTCCACCATCTCCTCCCACACCCCCTCCTTCTGACCCCTCCACTCCCCCCACCTCCCTGTGACCCTTCCGCCCCTCCGTCCATCTTTCTGTGCCCCTCCCCCATTTCCGCCCCTCCGTCCATCTTTCTGTGCCCCTCCCCCATTACCTTCTTCTGACCCCAACCCTCTCGCACCCCCCGCCACCCTCCTCCTTGCTGACCCCTCCCCTTCCCCGCAAACCTCCCCCTTCCTCACTGCCCCCCATCCACCCCCGTCTTGCCACATTCCTCACATCTCCTGCCCCCTGCCCACCTCCTGGCTGTCCCCTCCTTCTCTCGCTACCCACCGCCCCCCAGCCCTCCCCCTGCCCCCCCCTTACTGTCCTCCAGCAGGTCAGTGAGGTCCAGCTCCAGGCTGGGCAGGATGGTGGCGAAGGCCTTGTAGTCCTTGCCATTGCGGGGCATCTGCAGGATGAGGCAGGAGGGAGCCTGACGGGGGTAGGGGCAAGAAGGGGTTAGTGGGGGGGGCAGGAAGGGGGGATAGGGGCTCCAGTCCCCCCCCAGCACCCAGCTCCTCCCCCTGTCCCCCACCTCTCACCTCAGTGAACTTGAGGTCACCGGCGACCAGTGACCCCTCCAGCAGCTGCTGCACTGTGGGGACCCCCCGGCCTGCCCCCCCTGCACCACCCTCCATGAAGATCTGGTAGAAGATGCAGCCCTGGGGGTCCTTGTCCGCTGACCTGGGTGGGGGGAGAGAGAGATGGGGTTAGTGGGGGGCAGAGAGCGGGGGGAGTGGAGGGGGAAAGGGGGGAGCTGGGGGGTGTTAGGAGGGGGGCAGAGGAGGAGTAGAAGGGGAATGTGTAGCGGGGAGATGGAGAGGGTGTGAGGAAGGGGGGTTGGGAGGGGGACTTTGGAGGGAATTGTAGGGGGGGATAAGCGGGGTAGTGGGGTAGCGGGTGTTTGGCAGACAGTGGTGGGGGGGTGGAGGGAGGGGAGACCCTGCCAGTCAGGCAGATGGGGAGGGGGAGGAGCCGGCCAGACAGGGGAATGAGGGGCTGGGGGAGTCTTACCGGATCTTAAAGAGGGGCTCCATCTTCAGCACCCGGAACAGCAGGGTGAGGAACTCCTCGGGGTCTGGGGGGGGGGGAATGCATGGGTGAGAGCGGGGACCCCCTGCTCCCCCAGCCCCCCTCCCCCAGCCCCTCCACCCCTTTCCCCTGCACCCCCAAACCTCCCCTGTGGCCCCTTCCCCACATCCCCTCCCTCTGCACCCCAACCTCTTCGCCCCATATACCCTGCCCCTCCCCCCGCCACTCTCCCCCACCTCCTTCCCTGCACCCCGGCTCCTCCTGTCCCATTCCCCTCCCCACCCCACCTTTCTCCTCGCTGGTGAAGCCTGGGGAGTGTCCAGCTGCCTCCAGGACCCGCCGCAGGGACATCACCTTGGTGGCGCAGACGTAGCCGTGTCTGGGGGTGGGGGGTGGGGGGTGGGGGGTTACCCCACTGGCAATCTGCCTACATACCTCCCCCTCAGCCCCCTCCCGCTGGGACTCCCTCCCCCTGGACAGAACCTGCCACACCCCCAGCCTCTCCCAGAGACACCCCCTCCCTTCCTCCCTCCCCCAAACACCTCCTCACCCACAGAGACCCCCCTTACCCCCTGGAGAGACCCCCCACATCCCCCAGAGACCCCCTCACCCCTTCATAGACCCCCACCCCCAGAGAGCCCCTGCCCCCTGGAGAGACCCCCCTCATCCCCCAGAGACCCCCCAACCTCTCCACAGACCTTTCACCCCCAGAGACCCCTCCTGCACCCTGGAGAGACCCCCTTCATCTCCAGAGACCCCCACACACCCTTCCATAGACCTGTCTCTCCCAGAGACTCCCCTGCACCCTGGAGAGACACCCCCTTCATCCCCAGAGACCCCCCTCACCCTTCCACAGACCCTTCACCCCCAGAGACCCCCCTGCCCTTGGAAAGACCCCTGTTCACCCCCAGAGACTCCCCCTGGATCCTGGAGAGACCCCCCTTCAACCCCAGAGACCCCTCCTCACCCCTCCATAGACCCCTCACCCCCAGAGACCCACCTGCCTCCTGGAGAGACCCCCCCTCACCCCTCCATGGACCCCTCACCCCCTGGAGAGACACCCGCCCCCCATGCTCGCACTTGCGCAGGGGGTTAACGATCTCAGTTCTCAGCAGGTCCCGGGTCTCCTCGTAAGACGCCCCATCGTTCTTGTCCGCGGGGCGCAGCAGCAGCGAGTCCAGCACGGAGCTGAAGGCAAACATGCTGTGGGGGCAAGGAAGGTCAGGACTCCTGGGTTCTCTCTTTGGCTCTGGGAGGGGAGTGGGGGCTAGTGGTTAGAGCAGGGGGCTGGGAGCCAGGACTCCTGGGGTCTCTCCACAGTGCGGGGAGGGGAATGGGGGCTAGTGGTTAGAGGGCGGGGGAGGTGGGAGCCAGGACTCTTGGGTTCTATTCCTGGCTCTGGGAGGGGAGGGAAGGGGGCCCAGTGGTTAGAGCGGCCAACGAACAGGCAGGCAGGTGGGTGGGGGCTGGGAGCCAGGACTCTTGGGTTCTCTCCTTGGCTCTGGGAGGGGAGTGGGGGCTAGGGAATAAAGCCGGGGCGGGGACTGGGAGCCAGGACTCCTGGGTTCTCTCCCTGGCTCTGGGAGGGGAGTGGGGCTTAGTGGTTAGGGCGGGGGGTTGGGGGGAAGTCACTCACCAGAAGAGGGTGGCATCGAGGTAGCAGGAGTTGCAATGGCCCTGGATCCCTTTCTTCCAGCCCATCAGGCGCTGCCCCCCCTCTTCACCCAGCCCTGGGGGGGTGTCCTCTGGCACCCGCTCGCTGGCATAGACCCTGAAAGCTGTGGGAGGGGAGGCAGACCTGGACTGGGATCGCTATCACTAGCCCGCCCCTCCCATCCCTATAGGGAGACACCCCCCTCAGCTCTGTCCCCACCCCCTCCAATGCCCGCCCCCCCGCAGTGGCGTGCCCCCCACCTTCCATCTCTCCCCTGCCAGGCCCCCAGGGACTTACCCAGTGAGTTGCAGCGCAGCACGGGGTTCTCAGGGGGCTGGGGAGCCCCGAAGCGGGCATCGGGCCGGCAGTGGCGTAGCTTGACGAAGAGGGCCTTGCCGGGCGGGCACTGGAAGTACCGCATCCCTCGGTAGATCCCGTCCGTGCAGCCTGAGGGCAGCGGCTCCTCCTGGAGAGAGGGGCAGGGACTGTGTCAAGGGGGCCAGGGGTCCCATTGCTCCCCATGGGATGACCCCAGGAGGGAGGCAGCTGGGGGGCCCTATAATCCTCCCATGGATTGACCCTACTAAAGATGGGATGGGAGTCCCATACCCTGCCCCATGGGGGTGACCCCACTCAGGACAGGGTTGGGGTCCCATAAACCCCCATGTCTGTCCCCTGCAAGATGTCTGCCATTGTCTCACCAGCTCCAGCCCTGCAATGGTCTCCCCCACATCCGGCGGCGCCCCAATCCAGCGGATCACCCCGTAGATGGGGGGGTCGTGCACCTCCACCATTGAGTTGATTTCCAGCAGAGGAAAAGCCAGCTCCTCCTCCTCTCCTTCCTCCTTCTCCCCTTCCCCCTGCTCCTCAGTGCCCCCCATCAACAGGGAGGAGGGAGAGCCATGAGGGGACCCCCATTCCGGCCTGGGTGGATACCGAATGGAGGAGGGGGATGGGGGGTCATCGAGGAGCCTTAGGGAGGGGTCATCACTCAAGGCCTTGGGGCCTTCATCAGCCTTTTCTGTAGGGAAAGGAACCAAAACAACATGGCAGACATTAAGCAGATGGGGCCTGTTGGATGGCCATCTTGGCCATCAGGTATTGACCACCACTGGGATGGCCATCTTGGCTGTCAGGCTTTGACCACCCCTGGGGAGGCCAGCTTGGCCAGTGATCACTGACTGGCACTGGGGTGATCATCTTGGCCAACAGGCATTGACCGCTACAGGGGGGTGGCCATTTTGGCTGGCAGAAAGTGACCGCCATTAGGGTAGCCATCTTGGACAGCTAGTCGGAGGGTCTGGAAGGGATGTCATTATGTCCCATTGCATGGCTGGGAGAGAGGCCATGAGGGCAGCCATCTTGTTGGCCAAGAAATGCTGTTGTATCTCAGCGACCGCATGACATGGGCAGGGCCAACGCCCCGTACAATGAAGCCGAGCCCAGAGGGCCTCCCGCCCCTGCTGTTTACTGTAGGTCCTACCTTTATGGACTTTGGTGATTGGCAGGAGGATCCCGTGCTCCGGAGAGGGGAAGTGGCAGAGCGATTGGCCACTGAATTTGCCATCCCATGAGCCAACAGGCTGATCCTGGAAAATAAGGGGATTCAGGAAAGGGGCCCCCAATTATGATCCTCTCAATAAGGATCTTGCTGTCTGATCCCACCCTGGAAGTTGGGGGTCAACACCCTCTCACCAGGCAGATCCCCACGAAGACCCCAGCCATCTCCTTCTTGGGCAGATAGTCGCAGAAAAACACAGTGCCCCCAGGGGCGCTGTCACCCATCTTGAAGAAGACCCGATCTCCGAGCTCCAGGGGTGGAGAAGATTTGAGGGGGTCCCCTGTGGCCAGCTGGAGCCTGGTGCATGCCCGGCGGCTGCCCCGGGGAGCTATCAGGGGGCTGCACTCGGCCCCCTCATCCGGCTCAATCCGGCTCACAGGCACAAAAACCCCGCAGTTCTCCCGGCATGAGAAGAACTTCTGGCCTCTGAAGGAGCCGTCGGTAAAACCCTTCCCAGCCGCTGATCCCTGGAGAGGAACAGAATAGGGGGGTTGACATGGATGCCTGATACAGTCCCCTACCATGAGGCCAGATTGGAGCTGGTGCGCCCTAGAGGGGAAAGGCCCCATGTCCTATCCCCCACCCCCTTTAGCCCACCAGGCCCGGGTCAGAGCTGGTGCCCCCTAGGGGGGTAAGACGTCATGTTCCATTCCCCCCAGTCCAGCCAATCCTTGACTGGAGCTGGTGCCCCCTAGAGGCTCCCCCTTCACTCACCACCAGCTCCACCCCAAAGATGACTCCAGCCTGCTCCTTGCTGTCTCCCATGGGTCCCCGGTAGCGCAGGACACCCCGGACCTTTTCCCCGGAGGCCGAGGTGATCTGGACCCGGACCCGGTCCCCTGGGCGCAGGGCCCCCCGCCTGCGCAGCAGCCCCTCCTGTCTGAAGAGCCCCAGTCGCTCGTCCCCATTGGTCACGGCCTGCAGCATCCCGGCTTGCTCTTTGCTCAGCTCCCGTGCAGCCCGAGCCGGCAGCTGCACCATGGCCTCCGTGTCCAGCAGCTTGGCCCAGAAGGGGCAGTCCAGAGCGGGGGGCTCGCCCGCCTGGCTCAGGAGGCTGCCCCGGGGCACCTGCCCCCCACCTTCCCCAGAGAAATCCTGCACCAAGATGAAGAACCGGCGTGGCCGCATGGTGATGGGGGGGTGAGACCTGGAGGTGGGAGAGAGGAGATCAGAGAGGGGCTGACTGCTGCGTGAGGAGAGCGGGGGAGACTGGGCTGAGGGGCACACCCAGGAGAGAGGGATAGCAGGTTAGGGGGGCATTAGGAGGGGATGGGGGACACCAAGCTGGGGAGCTGATCCGGAGAAACCAGTATCCTGGAGGGGAGGGGGGAGACCAAGCGGGCGGGGATATCAGTGGGGGAGACCAGGTTTAGGGGATAATTGGGGGCAGCCAGGGCTGAGGGGTCAATCCCATCTGGGAGGCAGGGGAAAACAGACTGTGGGGGGAGGTCGATGGGTGGGGGGAGAGACCAGGCTGAGCAGCCCGTGGATAGGAACAGGAGTGGGGGAACCAGGCGGGCGCGGGGGGGAGGTTGATCTAGGAGACGGGGAGTGGGAGAGACCAGGCAGGCTGAGGGGAACATTGGGATGGGGGAAACTCAGGACCCCAACACCAAGGGAGTCTATGATCCTGCTAGGGGGACGGGCTGCGGGGACCCATCCTGCTCTGGGGGCAAGGGCCACGGGGGCCCATCCTGCTCTGGGGGAAAGGATGTCCCTGGTACCCGACGGAGACTCGCCTGTCGCCCGTCATCCCCGTCCGGATATCATCAGTCGTGGTGGGGTTTCCCCGACGAGCTGGAGCACAAGGGATGGAGGAAGAGAGAGAGAGAGATAGTGAGAGAGAGAGAGAAAAGAAAGTTCAGAAAGAGAGGGAAGGAGACAGAGTCAGCCGGGTGGGAAGAACCTCAAGCCCGCAACTGCCCTCCCCCTCCTTCGCCACTCGTCCTCCAGGAAGTCTTCTTCGTTCCCCCGCTCCCTGCCTTGCCAGAACAGGGGCCGTGGGGCCAGGGAGAGTGGGCGAGGAGCGTCCCAGCTCTCCCCCACCCCTTGGGGGACTCGTGTGGGAACCCTGAAAACAACAAAAGAGGAAGTGGCAGAGGCTGGGGGTGGGGCTGGAGAGAAAGGGGGTGTGAATCAAAGGGGTGTGATGAAGGGGAGAGGAGCCAATGAGGGTGGAGAGGGGTGGGGAAAGAAAGAAAGAAAGAAAGAGCAGGCTGGCTTTATGGCAGTGGGGTCTAGTGTTTGACACTACGAAAAGGGGGTTTCTGTCTGTCTGTTCCACCCACTTCTGGGGGGCAGCAGCCCTGCTCTGTGTATGACAGAAGGCAGGGGGTGGATCTGGCTCAAGTTGATGGACCATGTACAGTCTCTGACCCACACGCCTGTGCCCCACTGACGTGGAGCTGCACTGGGTGGTCCTGCGGGTGACGCAGACTATCCCATGGCAGCCACAACTCCCGTTCCCAATCCCAGTATCACCCCTGTCCCTGTCGCCCAGCCACAGGGCTGCACTGTACCCTGCCAGGCACCCGTCTCCTGGGAGTGACCCCTTCACTGGGCCGGGGCCCCAGCAGGACCCCCATGGCCTCTGAGACAGGAACTTTAGTACCAGCCACCCCTCTCCTCTGCGGGGCTCAGCTCAGCTGATCCAGCCCAGATGAACCATGGCTGGGATCCTTGTGAGCCCAGGACACCCAGGGGGTACCGGCAGCGATGGCAGACATACTCCCTGCTTCGCATGGCACGCCTTGTCGGCCTGACCTTGGGTCCCCCACAAAGGCCAGGGTTGAGATAAAGGCTCCTGGGAGCCGTGCGGACCCTGAAGTCCCCTTGGCTGGCCCTGGCTCTGTCCCTCTCCCCTTAGTGCCAGTGGTCCAGGTCTCCAAATGCCCCGGTCTTCACCCCGCCACACAACCCTTTGGTCTCCAGCTGGAAGCTTTGTCCTGGGGCAGCAGAGGGTGGGGGCGGGGAAGGGGCGGCTGTACTGTATAATGGGCACTAGGGGGCAGCAGAGGGTGGGGACGGGGAAGGGGCGGCTGTACTGTATAATGGGCACTAGGGGGCAGCAGAGGATGGGGGTGGGGAAGGGGCGGCTATACTGTGTAATGGGCACTAGGGGGCAGCAGAGGGTGGGGGCGGCTGTACAGTACAATGGGCACTGTGGGGGGGCAGGTGCTGATAACTCCATGCAGGCTTGTGGCGGGGGGGGGGGGGGGGGGAGAGTTTGTCACTCTGCCCCCTGCTGGACATGGGGGACCTAAGTTGGCAGGTGACATTCTGAGGCTGAGATTTGTCCTTTCTGGTCCTTTCCCCTTTTCTTTCTTTCTCCGACACACCCTGGGGAAGCGGACGGATCGGCGCGGGCGGGCTGCGAACCCGGCCGCGGGGGGGGGTGTCTCCGCAGTCTCGGGTCAGAGTCCAGCTCTCAGGAGCGTGATTTCTACTGGAGAGCGGAGCCAGACCCACGTCAATGGGACACACAGACATGGGGGAAGGGCTGGGGGAGTGCGAATCATCTGGGGGGGGGGGGTTTGGGGGGGTGGTAAAGGAACTGGGGGAGGAGTAAGGGGGGAGAGTTCGGGGCGCGGAAGGGAGGGGGTCTGCAGGGAAATGGGTGGGGGTGTTGGGGCCACTGGATTAGAGAGGGTTAGTCAGATGGGAGAAGAGCTGCGGTGGGGGGGGTAGAGGAGAAGTGGGGGCAGGAGGGGAGCCTGGAAGGGAAGCTGGAGGGGAAGTGAAGGAGCACGTGGGGGGTTGGAGAGTAGGGAGTTGGGGGAGGGGTCTGAAAGGAAATGGGGGGTCGAGGCACCTGTACTAGAAGGGGTGGTGAGATGGGGAGAGAGGCTCAGGCCGGGGCTATAAGGGAGGGGAGGCTGGGGGACAGAGCTGGAGCGGAAAGGGGGCATGGTGGGGGCAGAGTGGGAAGTAGGGGAGAGGCTCAGGTCGGGTTCTGGAAGGACAGTGTGGGGCTGGAGGGCCAGGGTTTGGCAAGACGGGGGGGGCTGCAGGGTTGGGGTGCAGAGGGGCCAGGGGAGGGGTTGGGGATCTCTGAGATGCAGGGCTGGTGAAGGGTGGGGTTCAAGGGCAGCACTGCCCACCCAGCTCGGGGGCGAGGCCTTTGATCCCCCCCAGGGGCCCCAGCCGGCCCAGACGCTGGGATATCGATTCAGGCTGGGCCAGGCCCGACGTTTGGCCCCGATCCCAGCCCCCCAAGCTTGGCCTGGTTTCCATTAGTTTAATGAGAACGAGGGAGACCAGGGCTGTTCTGGATTTTCTTAACCACGTCATTTACTCGCTGGTCATGGCAAAGGGAACCTGAAAACATTAACCCCTCCGGGGCTGAGCTCGCAGGGGCTGCGGGTCAGGAGTGAGGGGCACCAGGAGATCTGGGTGGGGACCCTCCTAGACCAGAGGTCTTCCATCCCACTGGCTATTTCCAGGGGCAAAGGGAGGGGGCTGCAGCAAGCCCATTCCAGTTGCAACGGGGAAGTTGCTCCCGGTTTTCCAAGCAGCCCACCCCGAGGTCTGCACAGGCGACGGTGGGGAGGGGGGGGGGGGACTTGGCCACCACCCCTCTTTGGACAGCTTCACCCAGCCACAGGTCAGAGCAGAAACCAGAGCGGATCCCCCGACTGAACGGGAATGGGTTGCAGAGATTTCAGCCGCCTGCTGACCCTGGGGCCGGCTCGGAGCTGGCGCCCCCTAGAGGGGAAAGGACCCATTACTCACCCCCTTAGCCAGCCAGTCACCAGCGCCCCCCAGAGGGGAAAGGCCCCATGCTCTATTCCTCACCCCCTGGAACCAGCCAGTCCCCGCTCTGGGGCCGGCACGGAGCCGGCGCCCCCTAGAGGGGAAAGGTTTCCATCGCACTTGGCTTCTCCTTCCCTTTTCAAAATCAGACTCTGTCTCTTTAAATCTCCAGATGGGGGAGACCCGACCCAAATGCATTCTACCGGGGAGGGCGGGGCTCTGCGGGCAACCATCCAATCGGCACGGGGCGGGTTGTTCCATCCGGAGGGAGACGGGGTGGAGGGACGACAGGAATGGATTTATTATTTTTCCAGCTTTAATAGGTTTGTGGGCGGGGCCTTAAATATGACAGGCTGAGGGGGCGGGGCTGGGACCAATCACAGGAAGGCGGGAGTGGGGGGCGGGGCTTGGAGGGGGAATGTGGGCGGGGCTTGGGGAAAAGTTTGGGACAACTTTTTTTTTTTGGGGACGTTATAATAAAGGTCGAAAATTGAGGCGAGGGAAGGAGGGAGAGAAGGAAGATCTTGCCCCCCCCGGTGGAATAAGGGGGTGAAGGTTTATTGGGGCGCCCCCTAGGACCTCCCATATATCCCACCCTATTGGGGGACGCTCCCCTCCCCCCAGTCGACCCAGCCTCTCTCATGGGGGCGGCCAGCTGCGAAGACGAGGATCTGGAATTCAAGCTGATCTTTGGAGAAGAGGAGAAGGACCCCCCGGGAATGGGGGTGTCTCTGGAAGGTGAGGGATGTGGGGTTTGGGGGGGCTGCTCTTAAAGGGCCAGCGTGGGCTGGGAGAGAGTATTAAAGGGCCAGCAGGATTTCTGCTCTTCCCTGGCTGGAAGAGCATGGAAAGTTTTGTCCTATTAAGGATGAGGGGGAGGGGGGGGCTCGGTTTCCACACACACACACCCCTTCTGGTTTCTCACGTTATGGGAAGAGCAGCTCCCTGGGATGGATGCTAAGAGCCTGGCAAGGGCTACGGGTGGCCTCTCTGCCGGCCCCAGCCCCGGACCGTTCTGCCAGGGCACTGCTCTGGGGAAGCTTGCAGCCCCAGAGTACCCCCCCCCATGCACGTCCCATCCAGCTGGGGCACTGCTCTGGGGAAGCTCGCAGCCCCGGAACAGCCCAGCCATGGGGGGTGGGAAGAGAATTCCCTCGGGTGTCTGTCCATCAGGTCCCATGCTCTCCAACCCTGTCCTGCAACATACACACACACAGATCCCCCCAGGCTGTGAGGAACATGGTGGTTTGTCTGTGTGTCCTGCCCCACCATCCGTCTGTCTGACACACAGTTTTAACTAGCGCCCTCAGACTCGTACTCCCCCCCGCCCCCATTCCTGGCCCTGTGCCCCACGTTCCCATGGCGACCCAGGCCTTGCCAGTGGAGGCGAGTGCGCCTTTAATTGGGTTCATGTGTCGGCCCCCTCCCATCCCAGGCCAGGCTGCCCCACTCCACAGGGTGGGGGAGAGTCTCAGGCCCCAGAGCTGGTGCCCAGTTTATCAAGTTTCCAGACCCCGATCATTGGGGGGGGGGGGTCTGCAGCCCCCTGACCCCAGACCCTTCCAGCAGGGGGTGATGTGAGGAGTGGGAGGGGCTCCTGGCTACTCCAGTCCCAGCAGGGGGCGCTGTGGGGAGCAGGGCAGGAGGGCTGGCTTTGGGGGGGAGCTCCTAGCTACTCCAGTCCCAGCAGGGGGCGCTCTGGGGAGTGGGGCAGGAGGGCTGGCTTTGGGGGGGAGCTCCTAGCTACTCCAGCCCCAGCAGGGGGCGCTGTGGGTGCAGGGGAGGTCCCAGGCAGCCCAGCCTCAGGGCTCTTGGGGTTCCCGTGTTGCTGGACACATGGCTGGGGTGAAGGTGTCTGACATCACAGCCCCAGAACCCCTCCCCCGGCCAAGGGCCCACCCGAGGAAAGGGGCAGAGATGGGGCCTTAAATGAGAAGCAGGTGTGTGTCGGAGCTGGCAATTGGGTTGAGATCACGTTGCTTTGTGTCTCTCCAACTCTTTGTGTTTTCGTGGGAAGGCGGCTTTCCTGCCGGTGGTTTTCAGCACAGACGTTTCTGCCCGCAAGATTCCTGGCCCTCTTGTCTGGGGCCCCATGGAAATGCCACGGCCCTGGGCCGGACGGGAACCTGGCGTCCTCCAGGGTGCAGCCTTGTCAAGGGGGGAACAGGGGTCACTGCCGCTGCGCTAGGGCATTTGTGGTGTGATAAACTATGTTGCTGCTGCCCTCTACTGGAGAGAGAGAGAGAGACAGACCCCAGCCTACTACTGCTGGTTTGTGTGGGTGTGTTAGAGAGAGAGACAACAATTTACTACTGCTGTGTGTGTGT